ACATCATTTTTCCAAGAGATGAGCAAGTAAATTCAAGTAGTTTCCAAGTGGTAACTATCTTGATTACCAAGGAGCAGTGGGATGCAAAGCTTGGCCGGTGGAAACAAATGATTGATAGCTTCCTTTTAACACTCCTGCCTTTATTTTCCCCTGCATGGCTCATTATTCTGCTGCAGTAATTTAAGCTTTCCTATTGTACTGAATTAGGGGCTTAAATTCTCTTATCATCCCTATGGGAATCTTGACTGTTTATTTGTAGATGACAATAATTGTTTTTATCGATCCCCAAATGTGGAAGGTATAAAAAGTGCCATGGCTGATGGCCAGCTGGTACATAGTGTTGCGTGCATGAGTGACAAATTACAAGACAATATTTGGTCCCAGAAGAGACCCTTTTAGAATTTTTTAAGGCATCTGATGGTTATCACTAGGTCTCTCTAAGCTGAAAAGCATAAACAACTTCACGTACATCAGCTCAAGTCTTTTTGTTATTGTTTTTATTGAACCTCCAAAGGTCTCCTAGGGTGTATAATTTATACTTCCTCCTTTCTAGTACACCCACACAGCAGGAGAGTTTAGAAATGGTGCAGCTACAAGAATTCCCAGATACAGTGCCATCCAAGCCAGTGAATTCCCTTAGGGACCCAGATCATCAGGGCATTTATTCAGAAGAATTCCTGTATTAATCCAGCAGCTGCCATTATTCCACTGCAAGTATCGTTATATGGACATTAGCTCTGAGTATTTTGAGAAGAAACCACTTTGCTAGCTCCAGCAAGTATTATCGGTAGGAAACCTCACATGATATCACATCCCAAATATATCAGAGGCACCAGGGGAAAAAACGCAACTGTCTAATTAAGTGCTGTTTGTGGGACAGGGCACTTGGGCAGTATGAACCTCCCAGTCTGAATCAAATGCAACACAGCTTTTTGCTTGAAGAGCTTTTGAGCTAGTGATTATGATGTCTATCCAGACACAAAATAAATTAGGTCAGGCTTAAAAGTAATCAACATCAGAAACGTAAAAATTTCCTTATTAGGTGGTGAGATGGAAAGATCTTTGACCAGATGCCCAACCCTGAAATTCCTGACCCTCTTTTCCTGTGGTAAAGAGAAGATAAATATGTAGAGAAATCACTTTGACAGCTGTACCCTATGGGGTTCTGTTCTGAAAGCTTGGCTGTTGAACTCTCAGACATGAATATCTGGGCTGGATCAGAGTTAGCCAGCGGAGCTTATTTTGCAGAGGAGGGGTCCATATGTCACACAAATGATCCCCCCTTTATTCCAGGGCTCTAATATTATTTTGGTCCTTGACAGCAACTCCGTGGAGGGACTGGCTCCTGGAAAAATGCATAAAAAAAAACCCAATTTGCCCTAATTTAGATTTTTTTCTCACTTAAATTAAGCTTTACCCTCAATGCTATGGCTGTGCCTTTGGTCTTAGATACTCCAACACCTTCCATGAGCAATCGTGTGAAAGAGGAAAGCATGGAGCGTCTCCCTCCAAAATTAGTAACTGTAGCCACCACCATTGCCAGGTAAAACTGTAGTGGCATGCCCATCACACAAGTGTGCATTAAATGTGACCTGATCAATTAATATGCTTATTAATTACCCATCCAACACACATGGAACATGGAACTGCCAAAGGGCTAAAGAATAAAACAGATTGACCACTGAAGGTGATGATTGCAGAATCATTTGATTTTAAAATTAGAAGAAACCTTAGGTAGGACTAGTTGAACTATCTCACTTTAGAGACAAGGAAACAAAGATGACCCAAAGAGGCCAAATAAGTTGTCCAAAGCTTGACATTTGAGTAGTGGCACAGCTGGAATGGGAAACCAGACATTCTCACTTCTGTTCTGTACTGCACTTGGTACTGACTCTGAAACTCCACTTTGTTACATTGATTGTGACTAATTGTGTTAACATGTGTGCCTCCCTCCACTAGACCGTGTGCTCTTTAAGAAAATATCCCATATTCATCACCAGCTCCTAGCAGAGTCAGTGGCATAAAATAGGATCACAATGAATGTTTGTTGAAAAAAAATGAATAAATGGGTGAATATGTGAGACCTGTCTTTTCTCATCATGTGCAAATAGATGCTGTAATTTTTAGTGATCTCTACTAGTGCTTGGTCAGCCTAGTAATGAAGAAGGATAGAGAGGATTGGAAGGTAGAAAAAGTAGAAGGAAAAGGCAAGAAGAAGGGGGAAAATACAATTCAGCAGGAATAATAACTGGAAAAAGTCAGTACATAGATAAAATTTCTAGTTTCGATTTGGGAGCTTTTAGTCAAGACTCTATTCTTCTGACCTCTCCCAATTTTCAAATGACTTTTTAAGCAGTTGATGCTTTAAGCAGGTCCCATCATCGCTGTTCCTCCTCAGACCCCAGAATGCAGGATTGACTGCAGGTTCCATTCTCTCCTAAGCCAGCTTGCTCTTTTGTGTCTTCCCCTCGCTGTGCTGTGTCTTCCCACCCATTTGGCACCTGCTCCTAACCCATGCTGCTGCTAGTGTTCCTATCACAGAGGAGAGTGCATGTAACTGAATGGGATCCTGTTTCTGGAATGTTTTCCATTTAGAAGACACACCGGGAGATACAAAGGAAGTCAATTTACATAGCGACATTTCAGACTCAGTGACAAATAGGCAGAGGGGGTGGATATAAATGCTCTGGGTCTGTTTCTCCTTCCAAATCAACCAAAGTCGATGAAAATAAAGGTTAAAAATCCAGTTATCAACCCCCGCTGTGCGTCTGAAATGCTTGCCTGTTTTAAGTGATTTGATACCAAGTGGTGCCTGTTTAAAAAAAAGGAATCAGGGCTTCCCTGGTGGCGCAGTGGTTGAGAATCTGCCTGCTAATGCAGGGGACACGGGTTCTAAGCCCTGGTCTGGGAGGATCCCATATGCCGCGGAGCGGCTAGGCCCGTGAGCCACAACTACTGAGCCTGTGCGTCTGGAGCCTGTGCTCCGCGACAAGAGAGGCCGCGATAGTGAGAGGCCCGCGCACCGCGATGAAGACTGGCCCCCGCTTGCCACAACTAGAGAAAGCCCTCGCACACAAGCGAAGACCCAACACAGCAAAAATAAATAAATTAATTAATAAACTCCTACCCCCAACATCTTCTTTAAAATAAATAAATAAAATTTTAAAAAGGAATCAAAGGATTCAGGGTCCTAATTGTAGCACACTGATGGCTTGGCCCTGGAGAACTGCAGCAAGGTTATTGGACATCAGTGGGAACAACTACTGGCTAGAGTGCTGTACCAGTGGTGAAGTGTTGGTTTGGAGGTGAAGAGCCGGCCATGTTCTAGTTTACCAAGACATCTAGATGGAAGATAGGAAACATAGTCTTTTTAAGACAGTGGTGCTACTCAGTTGCCAAGCAACCTGGGTGACCCAGATGCCCCTGCGGGGAAAGTTTTAAGCAGATAGGCCATCATCTGTATTGGATGGATTGGGTTGTCTTGGCTAAAGACAAATATGGAGATCAAATATTCCCTTGAACCATTTGGAACTTGACAGAATCCTCCAGTCAGGACTTATCTAATTACTCTCCCCCTTCAGTTACTGTACTTCCCACCTCTTCCTTAAACATACCAAGCACACTCCTCATATTTGTGAGATGGAACACTTCCTGGGACACTCTTCTCTCATACGGTCTGTTGAGCAAGGGGCATCTGTGGCTTATCACCAGGAGTAGAAGTCCAAACACTTCTGCCCACTGTATCTTGGTACTGGAGTCACAAAAGAAAACACAACACAGTCAAGCACTGGATGGAAAAATGCTATCCTCACACAGAGAAGAGATAGAGCAAGGTCAGCTCTAATAGTGGGCATCGGCCCCCCACAGGCAGCAGGTCCCTCCCAGCAGCTGACACAGGCTCTTGGCCTGCATGCAACCCTCTTGTGCCACAGAACAAAAGACCCCATCCCCTTTTTAAAGGAGATGGATATAGCAGTGAGGTGAGCCACGTGCCATGTGACACTTAAGCAAATGCGTACACCTTGACTGTGAAACAGAGAAAGATATTCACACACAGGGTGATAAGTCCAGCACAGGCTGTGAGAACTCCTTGGTAAGGAAGTGTTCCGGGCCCAAGGCCCCCTCTTATGTGACCAAGAGGGCGTTGAAAGGCTACCCACGTGAGGCTGCCTTTCCAGCACGGCTTACACGGTTTCTTCCCATTCACCCTCTCCCACCCCCTTTTTTCCCAGATCTTTGCTTCTGTTATCAAAAAGTCCTTCCCTGATCAACCTTTATAATACAGTCACCTCCAGATCCAATCCTCTGGCCTGCAGGAAGACAAAAGCCTTGGTTTTTGTGATAATTACTGCATCCACGGCACCTACAACGGTGAGGGGCACAGGGTAGGTGTGGTGTTCAATAACAGCGTATTAAAGAGACTGGTATGATAGGTCTTACAAAGGAAAAGTCTTGTCTCATGACGCCTGGAAAACAGTGAAGGAAAACTTTTCAGATGCTTTCACAGACCAAGTCATTCACCTGCACTGCATCCAATTTTCACTTATCAAGCCTCAGAGAAAGTGACATGTCCAGGTAAGTAAGATAACACCATTATCACTCAGCTCCCATCAGGGCTCCAAGCAACTTTAGAAAACCTGTCCTCTGATATAGAGTACTAATTTGTGTCTTACGGGAAATCAACTAAATTATTTTTCATCTGAAAGGAGCAGGGTTATTTGACTCCAGATAGTCGCCATTTGGCTTCTCTTCCATACAACATAGCTTCTAGGCTTAAGGTACTAAGACTGAGAGCATGCCTATAAATTATTCAGAGATAATTTGAAATAAGTGTGTATCTTTGACAGATTGTCAAGTTTCCTTATGTTTTTTCCTGATAACAAGGGCTATGTTTTTGATAAAATGTTGCCCGTTTCTCATCACACTTTGCTGTTGCTCTGTGTATGTCTTCTGTGTTGTTTTGTTTTGTTTGTCATTGTTTGTTTTTGTTCCGCCTACAGAGTCCAGTCTGGCTCTTATCTCAGCACGGGTTGGTTTACCTTCATTCTGGCCATGGATGCCTGTTATGGCATTCACGTCTACGGGATGATAAATGACACCTATTGCAAGTAAGATCACAGGAAATTATTTTTATGCATCTCCAATTCTGATATGTTGTCAAAATATCACAATTCATTTTAATATCATAAATCTGAGAAACAGATAAAGCAACAATTATTTCCCAGCACTCTTTGCTGACATGACATTTTATTGTCAGTGCATCTAGTTGTGACTTTTAGGGATGATAAAAAAGAAAAATATTTACCACAGTCTAATGTCAAATGTCAGAAGGAACATTTTTCCCTTAGTCTGAGGCATATCAGGGACTTGTGGCTTGGAAATACAGAACAAGTTCAGTGGTTATTTAATTTGCAAAGCAGGTTTGTCAATTCTGCTGCTCTAATGGTTGATAGATGGCTGTCTACTCAATGGTTGTATTTGATCTTGAAGGACAAAATGTCCTGAAGCCTCAGAGAAGCTGATACCTTAATGAGAGTTCCTGGAAATTATATTTCACTACTAAGTGAGTAATCTGTCAGATCCTTATTTAAATTGGGTATGTTCATCCACAGTATATTCCTGCTGGTGGGATAGTTTCTAAGTAGATAATAAAACAAACGTTCCATGCTTCATGAAGGTAATGAAATATATTTCCCTACCAACGATGGGCACAATATAATTCAGAGAGCATTCTAATCATATTGTCAAAATGGTAACTAAGCCACAATCTTCATAATCAAATATCTCTACCCTAACTATAAGCATAATGGAGTGCAGATGAACCAAATATCTTACTCTGAAAAATCACTAAGCTTCTTCAAGCTCTGTAAGAGCAATCAGGTTATCCAAAGTTTGTTTCCATTATACACCATTTCCTCCTTCAAAGGGTAGCTATATTTTTGCATGTAATTGGTGTGATATATAAATTTTATTTGATTTATTAAGGCACTAAGGATCTGGTATGTCTTCCTAAAAGCTTTTATGTATAATAGCTTTTAAGTGAGTTCATGGACAAGAATCATGCATGGGTTTGCAAGTAAATGCATTTACTGGGCACATAATGGAGTCTTGTAAATGAATACTTCATTCTTCATCTCAGTCTTTCTCTCCTTTTCTTTATTTCTTTTCTAGGACAGAAGGGTATAGAAAAGTCCCCTACCATTACTATGAACAAGGAAGAGACGAATGTGATGAATATTTTCTCCATGAACACGCCCCATATGGGGGGCATAGGTTTATCACTGAAAAGAAAGTGTTTGCTAAATGGGCCAAGAAACACAGGATAATATTTACACACCCAAACTGGACAGTGTCTTGATGTTGGCTTTTCTGACCTTGCCACATCACTTGACATGATCATGATACTGCAACTGTGATGCTAATGATGCTGATGCTGGTGATGATAAAGGCAACAACAATGATGACCAAGTTTCTGTACATTCTCAGATATGGACGGTGATTCTGCCAGTAATTTGAACTTGGGATTTCGTGGAGGGTAGTTGTGCTCATTACGTTCTTTCTGAAGGGTCAACATTTCATACTGCACTTTATAATCTAACTGGAATTGAAATAAAGGCCAGTAACATGACAAGAGTGACCTAAGAAATGGGAAGATTATCCTTCAAGATAGTTGCCCAGGATTCTTGGACAGTGAGTAATTTCCAAAAGCCCTGGGATTTGGTCTCATGAGGCAAGGTTATTGACTCTGCTGTCTGTTGAACCTGAGCAGCTCCACCATCTTGAAGAATGGTTGATTGTCAAACACTGACCCAAGAAATGCTTTCTGGGTACAAGGGTCTTGCCACAGTCACTAGTTGGCCTGGGGGCAGGAGAGGAATCTCTTCCTGACTTACCATCTTCCTACAGTACCTCCTACAGCTAAAGCCTCAGGCCATTTCCTAATTCACAAGGAAGATATGGACATCCTACCCACCGGGATTACTTGACTCTCTCAAACACTTCATTCAAAATGGGCTAACTAGCAAATCTTTTTGAATTTCTACTCTCATCGCTCCATTCTTACTACCCCCCAAAATATAACTAAACATATTACTAGAATGATCTGTATTAATGTTTAGTTATTTTTGGTTGAGTGCTAAATATTTCAGAAAGCTATTCAACAAGTAAGATACCAACACTGTAGTAACATAGACTGTGAAAACATTCTTAAAACATAACCAAAAGGGTTTACTAACTCTGCTTCAACATCCAACAACACAAAATTTTATGCTTTTGAAAATCATGAAACAGGGAAAGCAAAGCATATTTTTACATCAATTTGTATCCTACCATACTTCATAATATATATTTGTATATTCAAATTTCTATTTTATAGGCCCAAGATGTGTCTCTCCACACATTTCATTATCATTGCCAAGTGCCAACTGTTAGTCATGGAGAGGAAATGATTCCTTGTATTTAATCTGACCAGAGCTTTTGCCTTCTTGGGGTTTATTTTCCCCAAACTGTATCAGTTGCTATACCATAATAACAACAATAATAATGACCTTGATGTCTAAAGTGCTTTGTCGTGTAGAGTCCTTTCACATATGCTGTCCCATGTGATGCCCGTGACCACCCCATCAGGCTATTGCCTATGCATTCTGACATATTAGCAGATGATCTCTAATTTGTTAATTGCTACTATATATTCCAGATTGCTCCCCTTCCTAATATTTGTATAGAATAGAGTTTATGTAGACCAGTAACCAATTGATTTCAGTGCCAAATACAATGTATTATATCAGGATTATGCAAAAAGTATCCCAAGGATGGCCCTGGCCGTAAACTAGGAATCCTGTGAACAAAAGTACTTTTGATTTTTTTTTTTTAGTGGCTCTATTTAGGTGGGGAAAAGAGGAGGTAGCAGAGACAACAGGAAGAAATAAAAGTAAAGAAATACAGTTTCTCGTCCCCATCTTGAGATTACTTTGTTCTCCATATATTCATTGCTCGTTAAATATTAGAGGGTTGATTTGCTGAGAGAGTAGCTGAGAGACCAAAAACATCCTTACCAATGATTCAAAAGACAAAAGCTGGGCTTAACTTACAGCCTGTTTTGGAGGCTGGAAGTGATGATGCATTTCACCTTTGGAGCCCTTTCCAGGTCTCTACCAGTGCTAAGTCCCATGATAGGCTACCTTTAAAATGGTCCATCTTGGACAAAAACCTCTTTCCTGCTCTTTTCTACCATTTTAATACCTCAATATTCACATCCATAAAAATGACCAAGTGCCACTCACATTGTTGGAACTATTATTGTTGTTATTCTTTTGTTGCTTCCTTATGTGATTTTCAGTTCTATGTATGCTAGTTTTTGTGAGCTAATGATGGATAGAAATGCCCACTCAAAGAAAAATAAACAGATGAAAATGTCAAAATTGTAATACAGACTGTTTTTCCCCCCTGTTGTGATACAGAAGTTCCACTTTTAAATAAAAAGGAAGCTTGGTTATCAGAGTGTTTCAGGGAATGACATAATGTAATTTATTTAGTTTCCTGGTAAATGGAGGACCAACCCTATTTGTTTTAGCCCTTACTAATGAGAAACTTTGGAAAACATCCTTGCTCTCCTACTTCACTGCCGCGCTCCCTGATGGAGACTTTTACAGAGCCCTGCATCCCTCACTCTATGACAGTAGGTGTGTGTAGAATAGGCAGTGATTCCTTTGGAGTGGTAAGGGGCGCCTCCCCTTCCCTCCCTTTCCTTTTTTTCCTTAACTAAACCCCAACTCTACACTTTTTATTGTTGTCTCTTATCTCCGTTTTTCTAAAATTGAGAAACAAAAACCAGATTATTCTTAACATGGAGACCTAATTGAATGACTCCCAGTGCCATCATCATTTTGATAGAGTCACATGACTTATTTTTCTCTGCATTCTTAATGTTCTCTGCTTCCATTTCCTGTTCTTCTTTATCCTCAGCTTCCTAATGTGGAAACATAAAGTGGAAATTTAAAGTCTAATTTCTCCCATGTTGAGAAATTTTCCATCTAAGATTTACTGATAGAGAAGAGAATGGTAAAGGAGCAATTCAAGGAGAGACCTTTGTAGTGCAAATTTCTGGTCCATTTTCTAGCAACTGAAAGAGATTTCATCCAGCACCTAAACATTGGAAAATTTAACTCATTCATCACCGATATGTATACATCCCAGAAGTTAAGGAATATCTGTGAAAAATAAAAATATTTCAATAGCGTCCAAGGCTCTAGGCAAATGGAGTGTGGAAAATGGCCACAATTTTCTGAAATCAACATAAAAATATGCAAGCTAAAGATAATAAAGTCAACATTATTTTTAATTCTGCAGAATCCTTGATAAAAAGCAAGAAAATTTTAAGGGGGTTTTAAAATGAATGTTTGCATCCTTTCTAAGTTAGCCTAGTGATAAGTACTAATTATTTATATTGTTATGATGGTAATGTGAATTAGAAAACTTTTAGAATATATGATTTTACATTGTTATCAAACCTATCAAAGAAAAAGCAATTTGGGAGGACGTTTGTTTATATGCACATAGAGTCCCTGTGTGTGTGTGTGTGTGTGTGTGTGTGTGTGTATAAAGATATACCTGCAATCCTATATTTCTCACTGATGTGTATAAATCACAGAAAATCTGTTTTAGACTTTATCTGAAATTTGTGGGGTTACATTTTGAATCCTGAATAAGAAAGAAAATCCAGATTAAATGTACTGATCGCTAAGAGTACATAAAATCATATTCAGTGGCTGGACAAAAGAATAAAGCTAGAGAAGCTGCTAAATCTAGAACTGAGGACACAATTAGATGCCACAGTTGTCACAAATCAGACCTGGAAGTATCGCAATCTGTATCGTAGCCTCTGCTGATTGCAGCTCATCTAAAGTCACATCGAAAAACAGCGCATCAAGCTCCATTTGCACTGACGTGAGTGAACATTGGTCCCCCTATTCAAAGAAGCCTGTCTTTACCGTAAGCAAACTCAGATTTGCATGATTTTTATTATATGGCTAGAGAACTGTGACCACTGTGGAAAAGGGAAAATTATATAAGGAGATTGCTCTTTGAGGATTTGGAATGAATCAGCTGATGTGGGAGCAAGAGTCTGAACTGGGAACTTTGCTGACCTTTCCAGAAGTATAAAGCCGCTAGAAGAGAATCACTCATTACTTCCTCAGGAAAAAAACAACACCAAAGTACTTCAACTGGTGCTGTTAATCGGATGTTAATTATAAGCTCAGTTTAATTTCAATAAGTGAGAAAATATAATCAGATGGCTCACCTTTCTTTTTAAACAGCATACCCATCTAGTGTTTAATGTGGCATGTCGAATGCAAAGAACAAACTCTGTTGTCCAGTGCCAGTTGTTTGCATGTCTTAGCACAGTAAACGATTTATAGTCCCAGGGCCAAGAGGGAAAAATGCTTTTCCCTTAACTGTAGTTTTAAGAGGCAAGACCTCATCATTTTAATAGTTTACATAGATCCCATGACTGAAGGAGCCAGTGCTAGCCTTTGTAAATTGTCTTGACTTGTAAAACTGCAAGGGGCTTTAGTGACCAAACAATCCAGCTCCTGCATCTTGGAGTTCAGGAAATTGACCGGTAGAGGTGACGTGACTTGCCGGTGGCTATAAAACAGACTAATGGAAGTACTGAGACTTAAATTCTTATCTCATGTCTCCTTTTTTAATACTTTTTCCACTGCGTTGTTCGTTTTAGCACAGAAGAGTGGCTGGAAAATGCATAAGTGACTCATTGGAAGAGTCTATTCCTGGAAACCAAGAGCTCCAATTAATGTTGATTCTACTCACGATCTGAGAAATGTCTATACTAAAGTATAGAAATATTTGCATAATTGAAGTAATATCTCAGTAATCGTTGATATGCTCTATCATCTATGTTTGTTGCTTATACTGGGCCATGTTCGATTATCACAACATTCTAGGGTTCGTTTAAAGTATGTAAAAGTCAGTTTCTTCTTTTGTTATTGAGGATGAGGAAGTCACTGATAGTCCTAAGAGCTGTTGAGTATGGAGGTGGCCTGGTGTAACTGGCAGGTCCTGTTGTTGAATTATCCCCAGAGCCTAACTGTCCTCGTCCTGGAACCAATTCAGCTGCCTGGGTTAGTGAAATAATTCATCTGTACTGGTAGGTGAAATGTTACCTTTGGTATCGTGCTCATGTTTGTACTACACATGATTTTGAGCCCACATACTCTCTGGAAGGTAGATCAAATGCCCCACAAGACTCAATCACCATGAAGATTGAAAGGGCTTTTTCTTTACAGCCCATTCATGTGATACTGTTAGAAGAGGAGAATTTTGAAATATATGCACTAGGTTCTGAAAAGGCTCCTGTGGCTCAGAGATAGCATATTGTCCTGTTCCTTGTTTTTGCTGAAGCTTATAGAAACCACTAGAGTAAAGTTCCATGTAAATTGCTAAGGCATCAAATCAGAACTGTCCTTGGGCATTGTAACATTGCAGAAAATGTCATTTTTTTTTTTAGTTCTCTACTTTTTTTTTCTTTTCAGAATAGGCACTATTTGTTTATGGAGTAAAAAGCTCCTCTTTCTCCACAGATATGTCTCCTTTTGTTCCTGCCTTGGAGACTTCAGAAAAATAGAAGTTCACTTTCATAAAAATGAAGAACATCTTGACAAGTAAAATAACCAACTGCTAAATTCATATATTTGCCTACATAGTGAGCAGCTTCTTCTAAGAAACTCCAAAGGGACCAAAAGCAGGGCATTTCATGGCTCCTTGTTACCTAACCTACAAAGCACTCATTTCCCTGTGTTTAACTTTGTTGTCATTGCTACTGAGTAAAACCCGTTTCTATTACATACACTATATTTTATGCTTCACTCATTTTTCCAAATTCACACAACTTTTGCTGTAGTCTTTCATTCACTTTAAAAACCTGTAATCTTCATCTATTTATAGAAGAAACTGTAAATGCACAGTTGTGAATTTGGTGAGGTTTTATTTTTCTCTGGCATCATATTGCTTTATTCATAGGCATCATGTCTCAGAATAAAGCTTACTAAGTGGCAATGGACTACTGGTATATTTCAGTTTGGTTTACTTTTACAACAAGATAAATGAGGAGAGGTGAACAAAGCCAGAGAGTATATGTCATTGAAGGGGAAAAAAAAAAGTTGGGCGGCGGTGGGGCGGGGAGAGAGAGAGATTCAACATATATTTAATATCCAAGGCAGAAAGATGTCTAGGATACTACTGCAGATAACGGCAAGAGAAAATGTTGGTCAGCCTCCAGAATTTGCTTTGTCTACATTAACTATCTGATGTAGATTTTTAGATCTGATGTAGAGCTGATGTGTGCTGAAGTAGATTTCCTATCTTGCTGTGTCAGACCTGTTAGCAAAGTTGGGTTAGTACATAAGTTGCTTGAAATAGAGAAGTCTTCGTTCTTTTCTCCCTCCCTCTTTCATTACTTCCTTCCTTTCCTCCTTTCACTCCTCCCATTCTCCCTTATTTTCTTCTAGAAAACTCAGCACGCTTGCAGTTGAACATCATACATGGATAGTTTCTCATTTTACAAATTAGCTTACAGTTCTCTACCAAACTCTGTAAGAGACCCCTATTTGGATATGATCTTGAAATGAGAGTGTTTCTGGCAATAAAGTAATAATAACCTATGCTTATGTGTCAGGTTTATTAAAGGGCTGTTATACCTCATTCAGTCACCTCAAATACTCTATGAGGTATGTAATGTTACTATCACCATTTCACATATGAGAAAACTGAATCACAGAGAATTTAAGTAACTTGTTCAAGCTTGGCCAGCTAGGGATAGAATGAGGTTTTGAACCCAGGCAATTTGACCTAGAATCAAAACCTGGTTGCAATAGGCTAATAGATGTAACCAAAACCCCCCACCCCCAAATTTCAGTGGCTTAACAAAATAAGGTTTGTTTCTCTCTAAAACATGAGTCCCCTATAGATGCTCCTCTCTAACCAGCTTGTCTCCAAGGATGACTCAGAGACACAGGCTCCTTCCATCATGTGGCTTTGCCCTCCACAGCATCCTTAGAGACCTCCCTATGTAGCCTGCTAATAGGCAAAGCATGGGGAATTTGTTTTTCAGGCAAGTCCCGAAATGGTGTACATAATTCCACCCACATTCTACTGGCCAGGCTCAGTCGTGTGACCTGGCAATGTTGTCTGTGTGCCCAAGAGGAAAACAAACAGGGCTTGATGAACTTTTAGCAGTCTCTGCCATAATATTCTTAGTCATGATGATATATAGCCTCAAAAAGAAATCACTCAGTTTTGTGCAGCTATATGGATGACTCATTTATGTTCATAATCCTTATCAAGAACACAAGAAAAAAAACGCTTTACATGGATGTCAGTACCCCCACCTCAACAAAATAAACTAGGGAGCAAAATGCTGTTTTAGATCTTATTATGCCA